TGAATTATATAGTAGAAATGATTGACGATTTATTTATGCCGAATTGTATAGTAGAAATTGATTGATGATTTATTTATTCCGAATTATATGCCGGTAAAAATTGATTGACGATTTATTTATGTCATTAATATACCGAATGATTTATTTTTTTGACGAATGTTATACGAGTGACATTATGTCGAATAAATATTTTTTGACTAGTGATATTGATTTTATTTTGTTAACTAAAGCTTATAATAAATCCAATTTGTTTGCTTAAAGCTATTTTTTATAATTTGTTATTGAAAGAAATTTATTATTCTTCTATCTATATTTAAATTTTTATTATATAAAATAACTTATACTAATTTTCAATTGGAGATTTTTTTATATCTTAGTATGAAATATTCTTTTTGCAATATCTATTATAATATGCTTATAAAATATTTTTATAAAATTTAATTATTATTACATTTCATTGAATCATTCTTATTATCTGACTTATTATATCTTATCAATAAAATAATCATAAAGATCTTGAATAGATATTAATTTAATAATAATTTTTTTTTTTTTTAATTAGCTTGTTTAGATATTATTGAATCCTTGATTATAACCTATGGATTTTTAATTTATTTACTAAAACTTTATAGAAATTTATTTTATGATGAAATAGTTTCAATATTAAAATTAATTACAGTATATTATAATCTTTGAATTCTTTATAATTAGATAAGGTCTTGATTAAAAATAGTTATATAATTATTATGAAATATATAGAATAATTTTATATTATCTAGGCTTAAATAGTATTGTTTTATAGTAATATTGAACTTGAAAACAATACTGATAATCTGAAAGTATTATAAATTCACAGATCTGATTGACATTATTGCAATAAACAATAATTAATTTATTTTATATAAAAATCATTAATATAATAATTGAAATTTTTAATTTGATCATATATTTAATACTTATTTACTATTTAAATAAAAAAAAATCTTTTTTTTAATTTTTTTTTTAAGTTGGCGAAGAAGTCAAGCCGATTTAAATAAAAAATATATAAAGATAATCATATTAATAATTTTAGGATTATAGATTATGATCAATAAAGCATACGTAACTAGCCTGACAGAGGGGAAAAAAAAAAGGATTATAGATTATGATCATTATTTTTTTTGCGAAATATTTGGTACATTTGATCTCTTTTTTTTTTTCGCAAATTGGACAATAAGTATGCGTACGAATAACTTTAAATGAATAATTGAATTCACAATATCTCCAAATATGTAGTCGGATTATTTCAAGTCGAACAGTTCCTATATGTATACACTAGAATCAATTCGTACAAATTTAAATATTGCTTTAAAATTAAATAAGTGAATAACTTACAAATTCCAGAACTGACGACTTCATTGCCGAATATAGTGAACAAGAACCTGATTAAAGAAAAATTACTGAACCCACGATTGTCAGTCTTTACTGTATATTTATATTAAGAAATGATGTTAGAAGACGGAGAATCCATTTTCGTTTATTATTTTTAGAAAATTCGGGATCACAATCAATGTTCGTAAGCATGTATGCATGTTTCACTCGATCCTAGCAAACCGTTGTTTTTACGTAAGGCATGCATGTTTCACTCGATCCGTAGAAACGTCGTGTGCAACGTAATCTGATATTAATAGGCGGACAGTGATTTTCTGACTTTATAACTGTACTCCTAGAATTTCTATTATACACTATATAAAAAATAGGGACCAAAAATCGTTTATAACATTTCAAAAATAATTATCCATTTATCATATTTATTTATATAATTATTCGTACAACTAGTCTAAAAGTATAGTACAGATAAATGATATGCATATGATTTCTATCGTGGGCACAAACTACTCCAATCTTCCGGTGGATGTAACTTCTTAATCTCATCTGGTAACTCGATAAATTTAACCACCAATCCTACCTCCACATGCCACTACATTATTATATGAGAGATAATTAGATTATGTTCGATAATAAATGGAGAAGTACAAAACCAACCTCGATATGGCAGTGGAACGCCCATATGCCAGGATTGTCGGCTACAAATCTTAACGCGATCCATCTATTTGCAATCAATTGCGAAAAAAAGTTACATTTTTAATAAACGTGCGTATTTTAACAATAATAAAAATAATATGAATACGAAGAAGAAGAATAAGAATAAACTGATTACCCCTCGGCAGGTACGGTGGCTGTGTCTCTTTTTAACGGATCCTTGGTGTTAAATTTAGAAGTTTTAACATCAGTGCCGTTGCCTTCCGCTAGTATCCAAAATTGGTGTCCATGCTTTTTTTTTTTTTAATTACAAATCACAAGTCAGTCAAAATTAGAACATGCATGATATCACGTGTAAAATAAGTTACCAAATGAAATGGATGATCGCCGGTATCGGTGTCTAAGAATACGAGATTGCTTGTTAATATGAAAACTACCCACTCAAACATTTCTCTTATAATACTCAACTGATTAAGTAAATATCAACTGCTTCTTCCTTCTTGATAAAGTAAGCATTCTGACTTTTAGGAAATCTGGTCTCTCCATCAAAAATTTCCTGTAAGGTGGGGCTGTCCAGTGTAATTTCATATGTCGAATTATTAATGTATGCCATATTGACTCCCTCCGAGTTATTATGAAATGTGATTACAAATTTAAATGTTTTCCCCGGAGCTGGGATTTTTTCCTGACAGAGCGGTCTTAATAAACTGGGTTTTAAATCGACACATTGTGTTAAATTATCTTTCCAATCAGAAGTTATTGGTTCGTGCGTTTCGGGATAATCTTTATATGTGACAATAGCTCTGACAGTGCTAGTGAGATTATCGGCCGGCACGGGGAAACAATCCTCATGAAATTCAGATCTCATCCAGTAGGATGATGGAATTTGATTTGCCCGGACCAAGACGGAATAACGTTGTGCCACATTTATGGAAAGACGGTGAACTTTCGCGGGTTTGACGTAGGTTCCGTCCGCTTCTATCACCTCAAGCTCGTGTTGATCAATTGAGAAAAAGAATGCAGAGAAGGCGCTAGATCGCGTCGAGAATATAAAAATAATTTATAATTCATTTAATTAAGTGCCTCAACTCTTAACCGATTTACCCATCTATCGCATCCCCATTACCGTACATACCTACTATTAATGATCCTCAACCGATAAACTTTGCCGCTCTCGAAAGTGAACTTGGCTAATGGCGAATTGTTTACGCATTTACTTCCCTCAGATGCTAGAGAACAATTAAACCTTCCCAGACCATTAATTAATCCATTATCTGGTATAGGTTCGTTACCCTGACTTGCGGGAGACAAGTAGTAAGATAAAAGTTCACTAGCTTCGGTGTGATAATAGTCTTGCAATACAATAACAATATCTTCATCATATTCATGGAGATATGGATCATCGGGATCATCGACTATGAAGGCACCAAGTATACCGTCCACGTATTGTGTTTTGAAGTGTGAATGACTTTTAATAGTAAAGAAATTAGCATTATCCATATCCATCTCGTGTGGATTAATTTTAGAAGCCTACTTACTACCAATATGTCCCACTCTGATCTGGGACACTGAAGTTATAATACCAACATGTGTGTGCAGGTATGCCACATTGCGTCTCCCCCGGAACGCCGTCATACCAATTTGTGCCTCGCTGGAAGAATCCATGACTATGTATGGTAGTTGGTTCGTCCAATTTGTTGCAAACGTTCAATATCACCCGGTCACCTTTAGTAATCCTTATAGTGGGGCCTGGTAATGTACCGTTTACCGTCAAGACATCGCGGATGAAGCCGTCGGGAGCAAGTTGCACCTTTTTAATGTCGAGATTGAAAATTTTCGTATTTGGAGAAGAAAAATGGACGGGTGTTGGGGAACTAGAAGTGAAGCAGGTGAGAAACAAGAACGAGATAATCAAGGCTTTAATGAGCATCGTGACCTTCAGAAGAGTTGTGAATTAGAAAGTTCGACGGTCTACTCGTTAGAATTCAATTCTCCTGTGGCAGTTTTATATAAATATTTGTGTGATGCCCTTCATATGATAATGACATTCATTATAAAATCATTTAATCGACGAAAATGCTGTAAAATATATCCTTTTTCATAGTGTGCATACATTTTTTTTTTTTTTCAAACTATGTATGCGTTGGCGGACTTTCCTAACCGAACAACGTTCAATTGTTATTTGCTTACCAATTTATTTACATGTCACTAATTAATAGTAAATTCGTAACGCATCCGCAGTGTGTTTATTCTTTACTGATTTTTTGAAATATACAAATTAAATCGGATAACACTTTCAGGGATACACTTAATATTCTTCTTAGACATCTTCCATCTTAACTATGTGGACGTTAACTATAAAATTAAATGAATATTATTTTAAGAACTACAAGATCCCTTCTAAATGCACTCCCCCTTAGACCAGCTATGGGTGTGCATTTAGAGTGTACATTTAAAGAAGGCATGCACATTTAAGAAAGCAAGTATCCAGCAAGAATTAATTAATTTCGGTTGAAATTAATTTAACTTTGTTAGAGTTAGTCAATCCGATTGGGAATGAATTAAACACTCTATAATTAGTTAATTCCAGTCGGAATTAATTAAATTTAGCTAAATTAATCAATGAGAAATTTTTAGGGAGGCATATTAGCATACAAGTAATATTGTCCGACTTGAAACTTCTTCATTTAAACGTGCATTTAGAGAGAATGTACATTTAGAAACCTTTATTCATATTATACTTTAATTCTATTTTTAATTATGCTAATATTTTTTTCAATAATTTAATTTCTATATTAAAAAATTTATAATAATTTTTTTTTTTTTTTTTTTTGCATATTTTTATATATTTATAAAAAAAGAGTAATAAAAAAAAAGAAAAAAAATTTTTTTGAATTAAATTTTTATTTGTTTTTTTATTCATTTATTTTGAAATAAAATGATTCAATTTTTTTTATTAAAAATACTATATATACAAGGATATAAATTATATAGCAAAAGTATAATTTTATTTATTTTTTATTAAATACAATCATATTATTAATTGAATCTACCATAGTAATTTGTAAATAATAATATTAAAAGTTAAAAGATTTTTATCTAAACTATTAATGAAACAACAAATTTCTTTTAAAGTTATATTTAAAATAATAATAATCAAAACAAATGAATTAGTTAAATTTTTAACTTTAATATATATGGTATACAATTTACAAATATTTAATAAAACTTATAACTTATTTAATATAAAATTAAAAAAAAAATTACATTATTGATTGAAAATATTTCTTTATTTATTAAATATACAATTTTAATTAACTTGATACAAAATTATATTAATATTCCGTATCAAAAAAAAAAAAAAATAAAAAAAAAAATAAAAATAAAGAAAATATATATATATAATAATAAATATATACTATATAAGTTTAATTTAATAATAATAAAAAATCTTTAAAAATAAAATTGTTATTAATAATTATATAAATATAAAATTTATAATTAATAATTAATAATATATGTTTATTTCAATTGGCACAAAAATGTCAAGAGCTATAATTCTAAATCAAAACTTAGTGATAATGAAATTAACAATATATTGATTGAAGAAAATAACAATTCAACTAAATTAAAGTACTAATAAAATATATACTAACTTGATTGTCAGAGCTCTAAATAGTACTTAAATCAAAGCATACTATATATCAAAATATCTCTATACTCTTAAGAAATAAAACTTTATAATAATTTGCTTTAAAATTCAATAAAATCAAATTAATGTATGCAGACAACATATTTTCTTACAAGGGTCATATTTTTTCTAAAGTATTAAATACACTTCCAAGATTGAAAATAAAGTTTAAAAAAGAAAACTAAAAATTCTAATATAAGAAACAAATATAATAGAATAAAATAAATGAAAAGTTAGTATTAGACTTACAATCTGATAATTAATTTACAAATTCAACTTATAATTTTACAAGCCATTATAGTTTTCAAATCAAAAACAAATCAAATAACACTATAATAGTAGTAAAGACAAGAAAAAAATCAAGCTAATAGATATCCAACTAGTGTTCACAATTTTGATCTGAATCTGATTGATCTGTAAATCAGATATGAATCGGATCAGATCAAATTTTAAAATTTTTAATCCAATCGGATTTGGATCAAATCGAATTTTAAATTTACAAAATTATCAGATTGTAAGTCTAATACTAACTTTTCATTTATTTTATTCTATTATATTTTTTTCTTATAT